CTATTGCAATAAAACGGCAATTTCATACTTTAACCCCTAATACTTGTGTCCTGACATTTTATTATTGTCAATTCACTATTTTATTTTAATTTCTAATGATCTATTTGACTCTGTATTTTTAAATTAATTTCAAACAAAATTATGTATACCTATTGTTAATGAATAACTTATTAAATTGAAATGAGTCAGTGGTAACAGTGGGGCGTATCAATGGGTTGAGTTTTAATAGGAAAATAAAACTCTAGTTGCAAATATCTCGAAATTTAAAGCCGTGACCCATAAAGAGCCCGAAACGTTGGGTTGTTTAAAAAAAAAACAGATATATGCGATCAAGATCCGAAAAAATAGTTTTATATAAATTTTTGTAAGTTTTTTAATGGTGACTTCGAGACTTGTCTAATACCCTATTGGTATGGATAGGACATTATCATTCTGATTGCGTGGCGACTGACTGCCAAGTGGTATGCGCACGTAGAAATTGTGTGTACAGCGTAAAACTGCTTAAACCGTAGCTGGGTAAAAATTGATTTTAGTGTTCAAAAGTGCATACAGAATTAACTCTAGAGAAATAATAATACATAGTTTTTTTTAAATATTCCGAACAAGTTTTATTTTCAAATTTAAGATTCTCATAATTTTGATAAAATTGCGGTACTTAATTCGTATAAAAACTAACCGGATATAAAACAGCTATTGACGATTGACAAATCCAAATATATTAATTGCGTCTTTTTATTTCAATACGTATGGATGAGCTTACAAATACTTTTTTTAAATTTTTGCTTTCGCGGAATTTCAAATAATCGGTATTTTAAAACAGACAAAACGAAAAGAGAATCACGTCAATATAAAAGCTCTTGGTTAGAAAGCCTCCGTAATTTATTACATTGTACCGTTGCCAGCAGTCACGAAAGAATGATGTGGATACTCCCCATGGGGCGATAAATTATTTATAATGGCGACAGTGACAGTTAAAAATGTTCCTTTTTTATGTTTCTAGATAATGTGACGGTATATTTTGGCGTATTACTTTCGTAATGGCTAAAATATTACAATTGCCTTTTTGGTACATGCATGTTGAGTTTTAAGCTTAGATAAATATGATATAGACTGTGCATGAGAAAAGTAATTGAACATAATTTACAAAACACTGTAACGCACTGAAAGATATTTATTAAAAATATTATTAACGGTTTAGGGAAAGGCGAAGTGTGTATGTGCCCACTTGGTGGTTTGTAGCTCTCTTACGCATACATTTGCATTATAAAGATGAAAAAATAGTAATAATAGCTTTATTGACATCGCTAAAGTGCTTGTAGCAGTAAAAAACTGCAAAAGATCTATAAAAAAAGCTTCAGTTTAGGATGGCATAGGTTCTCCCCTTTTTGAATCTAAAACATATCAGCTCGGGAACTGCGATAATGCGGTAGAAATATTTATGTAAATCTTATCCACATTAAGATCAACGTACCCCATATCCTTTGAGATAAAAGGTCTAAAGTTTCCGGCGTATGTACTAACGAGTTGTCTGCCCATAATACTTTGCTCTTAGCAACAATAAGGGGTACAGTCTGATATTTAATAAGTGTACACTTCAGAGAGATTCCACCTTAGTAAATTACTTTGTTGAATTGATTTGAAATCTAATTTAATTTGTATAAATTTATTATTAAGAACAGAGAGCGGTATGTCTGTTTAGGAGTGAGTGTGGCTATGTTTGTAGTGTAGTAGTGTAGGTAAATTTGTTGTGTAAGTGTAGGTACTAAATTCATGACTTAATACTAATCTGCTGGGCTACTACAACTACTACTACGATTACCATGGTGAGCTGCCCGCAGAGGTCCCGGATTCGATCCGCGAGAAATATTTGTATGGCTGATATTTATTTCTCTCGCGAGTTTGGGTGTAATTTGTGGTAGTCTTTGTGTGTCAAATGGTACCCGCGACACGGGATCTTCCTAGTGCGGGCAATGAGTGCGTGCGTTATTTATTATTATTTATTAATGTACGACTAAGGCGTAAGGTCTCGATCAGCATGTATTACACTGCAATAACTATAACTTAATATATGCACCGTGATTAATATTATTTATTAACAGTAGAGCTTGTTGTGAAAGAGTTTGTCCAGGGAAGTACTGTCACCTGACCTATTTCTGTCGCTAAGCAATAATTTGAGTATTACTCCGTTCCAGTTTTGATGGGTAAGAGTGCTGGTGAAATTACATAGACATGGGACTTGCCACTTATGCAATTAGATATTTGCGATTCAGGACTCTGAGTGGCACTGCAACTACTACGAACAGGCGTGTCACTGAACATCAGGCGTACTACTAGTTCGTCCCGTCACTTGGTATTATAAAAAATACCCACGCCTTTATAAAAAGCCTTTGTTAACTAAAAGATAGATGCGTTTATTTTTCATAAACAAAGTTTTTATTGGCATGGAACTATAAAGTGATTTCACTTAACAAAGTTATATTTTCATTTTTTTATGATACTAAATGACGAGATGAACAAGTCGTGCACTTGGTCGTAAACGCCTGTCCATAACAGTTGAATTGCCGCTTAAAGGGCACTGCCCGTCACCCTGAGACATGAGTTGAAAAGTCTCATGTGCCTATAATTTCACCAGCACCCTTACCCTTCAAATTCGGAACGCAGTAATATTCGCAACGAATTCTTTCACAAGGAGCTGTACTGCTTCGAAACATGATGAATATGATGTCATGGTATAATGCACTTTGTAGTATAAGGACTACATAAAATTTGGCTATGGGAATTAAATACCGCTGTCAGCTCTCAGCCGAGAAAGCATTTTTCGGAGTGAACCTACTGCCTGCTAATCTTCATGCTTACCTAGCCAGCATCAAAAAGAACCTTAACACGACATACAATAGAATCCAA